AATTGTATTCCCAAAATCAGCTTAGTAAATTTAGATCCAGAGGGCAGAATCCTCTGGATTCCGATCCTTCAGAACAGAATTTTCTATCTCCTGCATGTAGATACCTGAGCCAATTGCCTGCGAACAAGCTAATGAGCACACTGAGAGCAGTCCAGCCCAAATATAACCATCTTGTTATCATAACTAATTTGCTTGGAGAAGTCTACTAGCCATTCTCTACCTGAATGGAGTGACTTAAAGCCTGTCTTATTATTTCTATGTATAATTTGTGCAGTGTTCAAACCAGGGGAGTTCTAAGGCTATATTGCACTTCAGTTGGACTTGGTTTCCAGCAAGTAGTGAAGCTGCAGTCCAAAGCTGCAGATTTAATGCAAATGCAGCTTTAACATTCCTTTAGCAGACCCTGAACAGTAAGAAGTGATACATTTGTGTACAATTCCAAAGTGGATTTCTGAGTATGCCTGAAGTACACACAAATAGGAGCTTAGAATGACTTAAAAAACTTAATTTTGTGTGAGTTTCTCCAATTAATAAGAGGATCAAGACAACTGTGTAGGTAACAGAAGAACAGGACAAAAATTTCTGGCCCACAGTACAGGATTTTTTTTAGCAGCTTGCCTGTTTAGCAACACAGCCAGATATGGACGTGAAGGACTGTGATCCACATGGCACTGGCATTAATCATCTTTGATGGAACATTTCTCATGAAAAGTAGTTTTCTAACAGTAAAGGAGAAGTCTAAAAGATGCAGCTTACAGCACAGTTTCCAAACTTTAGAAGATCAGATTTGCCCTTCAGAAAGAGATAAAAAAAGTTACAGTTTAACATCTGTACAGATGTTACATGCTGCAGATAGATTATGTAGGAGAGCTCCCTCCAGACGGCAGCATCCCTCTGAGGCAGGACAGAGCACACATCTGCCTTTCCCTGTGTGCATCAGAGCTCAACTCATTCTAACAATGGGAATCGTCGTTCTCCATTAAGCTCATACTGAAAGCCTTGAATAAAAGCCTTAAAAAGCTCAGCTGAAAGTATTAATTCTGACGGAAACATGTAAATCTGGATGAAAACTTCCATTCATTTTTAATCTTGCTATGGTAAACCTTGTAATTAAGATGATTAAATGACTGAATAAAACCCTATATTTACATCCTTTAGAATACCACAATGAAAAACCATAATCCTGTTTATGGAAAGAAAACAGTAGAGGCATTTTAAATTGGAAACATCAAACAAAGCTTGTTATTTAAGCAGCCAGTAATTAATGTAACTCTTGCTTGGCAAGGACAACTAAGAGTTAACTGCCTAGGAAACCCCTCTTGGAGAAAAGAAATAATTGGGAAGAATCAGATATTGTGTTTATGGAAGAAAAAAAAAAAGATAAAGTGTTATGTTTATGAATGATCAAGTTATTCACATTTAATATATTTCACAGGGGAGAAGTTAAGGATTAGCAACAAAAACATTGCTAGTGGGAAAGCTTCTGGAGTAGTCACATCAAAATGATACAGGACTCCCAAGGAAGTTAGAGGCAGCATTTTTTATGAGCATTGGTCCAGGAAAAGCAGGAGGTGACAATCTCTTGGTGCCTGTTTGACACAAGGAATTGGCAGAAAAATTTTTTCATTTAATTAATTTTCCTTCACCATTCTGAAGTAGTGGATAATGTCTCTCCAAAAAACCTCCTTCAGTTTGTTGCCTTGCTATTTCTCAGCAAAGATGACAGTAATTTAAAAAAACTCACTTATTAAACTAAAGAGATCATTTTCTCATCTGAATCTGTGCTACAATTTTCAGGATCTATTTCAGGTGTGCCTAGCACCCCACATTCCTCTTTGTTTTCACTGTAAAATAGTTGGACAACAATCTAATGAAATCCTATATGAACAATGTAAATACATCAAAAGTTTGTGTGTGTTTGTATGTTTAATGCATTACCTCTTGATAATATACCCCAGCACAAATAAACAGAAATCAAGTTTATATGCATATGAAAATGCATTTCTGATTAAAATCTTGTCAAAAGAAGTTAGTGCAGTATTTTTTTTCAGTCAGTGGTGTTTTGCAAAGGCTTTCAGATTTTTTCTAAAATTGTATTCTGTAAGAATGTAATATAGGTACTATTCAATCAAAAGTATTTGCTTTATCTTCCACGTGAAAACATGTTAATAAAACTATATTTCTCTTAATACAGTACTCTTTTGTTAAGTCATCTGTCTTTTCCCATGCTGATAATGCCATTGCCTAAAAGGGCTCAAGCTGAAGCTCTTGAGCAAGTTCATATGCAGTTATTGACTGGAGAGATTGAGGAATGGGATTCTGTTGAAGGACAAATTCCTTATGAGGTTGTGGAGAATTATTAGGCTTGATATTGTATCATGGATTTATCTCATGTGATAAGTAAGTGAAAATTATTTCTAAAGGTGCTGATCAATGTAAATAAATCAATATCACAAAGCTTACAGTGTTCATCCACAAAAAATTCTGTCATCAAAAACACTCCCATAACTCATGGTCTTGTTAATTTGAGATGTTCACACTTTTGCAAACATGCTCTGAATAGCCTTTAGCTTAGATATATCCACTATAACATCTTAGGATCCACTTGAAAATTTGTCTCCTGGGTGATTTTAATGTTGAACATTTCTTAGGGCTATTTAGAAGATAATAGCTTCTTTGCAAATCAGACACAGAAACTAAAATGGAGTACCAAGAAACCGAATGCTTAAAAAAAATTTTAGATGTTCCTGCACAACAAATCTTTGAAGTACTCTGCTTGTCAAAAGACCTTTTTACCTGCAAGTTTCATATTTGTTGCTTAATTTCAGAATTAAATTCATACACTTCGCTCTGAAATTTCAGGTTTTGTCCAGAATTATTTTTTACAAATGAACTCTGATCTGGCAGTCAGCTTTCGTTAATGTCTTGCATTTTATTGACAGGGCTTTGTGGAATGATTTATTTTTGAAACATCACTAGGCCTGTGGAGGTAGCTCTCCCCTTTCCAGGGAGACTCCAGCCATTGTATCAATACCACCTGCAGTCCCACTGCAGTACCACAAGTACTTACTGGCCCTCAGTACTTTGCAAGTACGGAGTTGAAAGCAAATTGCCTGTGATAGAATCACAGAGTCATTTAGGTTGGAAAAGACCTCTAAGATCATTAAGTCCAAGCTTCAAGACAGCACTATTTCCATCAATAAACCATGCCCTTAGGAGCCACATCTACGCACTTTTTAAATACCTCCAGGAATTGTGACTCCACCACTTCCCTGAGCAGCCTGTTCCAGTGTTTGACAACCCTTTGGATGAAGAACTACATTACTTGCGTTATGGAATGAATAAAAGAAAGGGGGGCCAAGTCCCCTTCCATTGATAGGTGCTTGTGTTTCCATCTGCATATCAGTGCAATTTTTCAGCTTTTCTTGATTACTCCATCACTCTGTAAAACCTTTTCTGGCTTAGCTATGGTGAAAAAACTATGCCAACAGAGGATAAAAATATTTTTCTGGAAGTAATTTTCCTGCTGGCATAGCCTACTGGTACTCAAACAATACAAATTAAAACAACTGAATGCTGTTTTTGAGCACTGTAGTTTGCACAGCAGGGGTTTTGCTGTCCTGGTAATGAAAATGAAAGATACTAGTTTTCACAATCAAAGGCAATATCTGTGTTACAGTAGAATACTGTGTTAAAATCTGACTAAATAAAACCCAGAAGCATAATTTGAGGAAAAGAATTCTAAATATTTTGATGATATATAAAAAAATATATGTATTTTGTGGAATGACCATTGTTAAAAGGTGTACGACACTTTCCCTCTTGATTGATGTCCTTCTATCCTTTTGTTCTCAGTTTGTTTGGGGAAATGAAATTCATATGTGCTGCTGAAACCATTGCTCACTTTTTCTGCCTACACCTTTTCCCTCTCAGTTTACTTATCACTATCAGGCCTTAACATCATCTCAATTGCATCATATAGACTGCAGTGTCAAACTCAGAAAGAGATTGTAAAGGCAACCACAAGAGAATCTGCTCAGAAGAGAGAAGAGCAGAGAGATGGCATTGATAACTGTAATACAGCAATAACAATCCTTGCAGTATAATATAGTATACTGTATACTACATATAATAGTATATATATATTATAGTATAATATACCATATGCAGTATAGTATAATATAATAGATACTGAACACATTTCTCTAACAGAAACTCAGAAGAGATTTTATGTTCTGAGGATCTTCCATCTGCAATGTTACTTCAGGCCTAAAATTTGGAGTAGAAAAAACCCTTCAGTACATACCTCATTTCCCAGAGAAGAAAAAGATAGGCTATAGTATATCCCCTGAAAAACAAGATACTCTGTCTAGCATCATGTCTCCAGATGTTATATGACATGCAAATATAAGGATGTACCTAGCTGTCTACAGACTTTGCAGGAGTGTCAATTTGAAAAACAATAAAGTAACCGCCCTGGAATACCTATGTTTTCATGTGGGAATCCACAGGCATTTCATAGAATTTATGGTAATTCTGACTTTTAGCAATGATGCAGTTTTGCGAAACTAAGTTATACAGTGAAAGGAAGCAACCAAATCATGTCTCTACTACTGAAAAGGAAATTAAATTTGTATTCGACAAAAGTGCCATGACATTTGAATTTGCAGAAATTTCTGAAGGCTTCTAAACACTAAAAGCAATCTTCTGTGACATCAAGGCAGCATATTCACCATGATAGCATGGAGATTATTGTCACATTCAAGTTCTACACTAGGAATTAGGCAGTCTTGTAACAGAAACGCTTCTGTTATTCATTAGCATTTGCAATATATAAGTTTAAATTAGTCCTTTGATTCTCCAAAAATGGCCAGAAGAATGGTGGATACCTCATCTATAAAGTTCCATAATCAAATACATATTGTATCTAAAATCCTGAACATCCAATAATGACGAAACTGTAAAGGAGGAGCATGAGTACAGGCTGCAGTCTACTGTACCTGGAGAATGAAGTGGAGGGGAGCACATCAGAACAACTCCTTGACCTTCACGTACAGATACAGCACTTCTTGTCCGACCGCTAAAATTTCCCAGATCTATCAAAAGAACAGAGCATTTTAGTTACATACCAAAGATTTTAAATTTTGTGGCTACTATGACTTACATTTTATTTCCTCTTTTAAAGCTGACTGTTCCTTTTTTCATACCTTGATCAATAATAGAAAAATAAATCTATTTCCATTACAAAAAATTCTATGTTGCATCAGCACTTTATTCCTTTTTTAGTGCACTTGCATACAGTATAAAAAAATATTCACCAGATTATATATATATATATATATATGCCATTTACAAATACATTTAATAGTGATATTATTTATTTTTACTATATCTTGCTTGATTTTCTCCCTTGGTAGAAGGGATTCATACACAGTGAAAAAGAAGAAATCCAGCTGGAGGGAGCACCTTGGCTAACATCCGGACTGATGATGCGGCAGATGTCACTTGGACAACACACACAGCACATGGTGATGACAGAAAGGAAAATCAAAACTTTGGTTCTAAAACCAAATCTATTCTATAACACATTTACTTTTTCACATACTTTCTGATTTCTCTGGTGCTATAAGCCCAAACCAGCTGTGGGCAAACATACTTTCCCTCCAAAAGTTTCTCTCCATCAGGGCAACAAGAAACATTCCATTATTGGAACACAAATTTTTTGAATAAAACTGTAGGACACTGCTATGAACAGTTCACTGTGATTATTTAAAGCCTCTCAACCAGAAGATCCTATTATTCCATTTACCACACAGAACACAGAACGTGGATTAATATTTGGGGTGGATAGTTACGCTCTAGTATTTGTATCTGTAGTAAAGGGATATTAGAGTTCAGTTCTGCCATCAGACTGGTGTCTTCATCCATTCCTCAGAGCTAGTGATGGTGTTTAAAACCTTTGTTCTCTCAGGGGCTTTCTAAAGACATTTCTATCTGATGTGGATCAAGGTGAAGAGAGCAGCAACAAGATATCTTTGAAGAGGATACAGCAGCTTCAGCAAGCATTAAATGAGGATCAGAAATATGAATATATTGGGCCAGTGGGAGCTTCTCTCACTGACATTCAGTGATCTATAGCGATACCTCCTAATTTCTGCTCAGAGCCCAGAGTGCTGGCTTGAGTGACACCACTAAACACTTTGAACAGGTGGAGCAGAATTATTCCTATCTTAACTGCACTCAGTTGGTATTTCTCTGTCAGATGCTGAAATTCCACGTCTTCAGACCTAGTAGAGCATAAAACTCAAGTTCAATGATTTTCAAAAGTAGTTTGAGTTGATTTTTTTTTTTTTCCACATTTCTAAATTATGTTTTGGGCACAGGAAGAATTCTAAAATTTAAACACATTTAAATTTGTGCTATCTCTGGCCAAAATAAGTAAGTCCTTTGATTTTAACAATAGGTATCATATTTGAATAGAGAAAAGGTATGTAGGGTCCAGTAGAATTTTTTTTAAATTAGGGTTACATTACAAAACTTTGAAAACTTTTGCTAGTCAATAGATAATTAAAAAATTAAATATGGTATTACATTTTAAAATAAGCATGTCATGGGTTGTAGTACATTCTGGAGTAATTTATCTTTAAAAGTGTCTCCTAATGCATGTTACCTGACAGCATCTTCAGCAGAAAAACAATTATTATTTTGTGTCCAGAAAATAGTGGGCTGGTACATCCCTGCATTAAAAGTTTGGATGGGAGAACACCTTGTAATTGAAACTTTTCTTAGTTAAGACCTTGTCATGGGGTGGCTTTACCTTTAAGGTGGTTTTAGGAGCTAAGGAAGTTGAAGGTGCAGGTGGCTGATGGGAGTCTTTCCTCCTGACCAATTATCAGTCATTTCTAAGAATTGACAGCAGTTCTGACCATTAAAAAGTGAATTCAACCTGTGAACACCTCCTTAAGATGTAAAGTCAGAGCTCTCTTGTCCACTTTTGTTTCCGGCTCCTGAGAAAGTAATGAGGGTTTGCCGTGGCCTCCTCCTTCCCCCCCGCCCCCAGGCCGGACAAGGCCGCAGAGGATGAAGGGAGGGGGGGAGGAAAGGAAAGCAGAGCTGGCCAGCCTGGTTTAGTTTTCAGTTTCTGCTGCTGGACTGAAACCTGACACCATGAACTCTTGCAGGTTTTCTAAAGCTTTAATTCTTTTACTAATCTTTCTGTTAAAGCTATGGAGATGGACAATAGTAGTTTAAAAAGACTCCTTTAATTCATGACAAAGTATATTGGGAGGAATGGAGTGTTCAAAGTGTAAATTTTGGGCAGAAGAGAGAGTAATTGTGATACAGTGAGTTGCTGGAACAAAGTTGAGCGAAGATTTGAAGCCTTGGGGGCAATGAGAAAACTGTTTTCCAGGAAAGCTCACAGAGACAGATGAAGACTTTTTCCTTTGAATAACTCATCCTTAAAATGCCATCCCTAGACTCATGGCCTATACACACCTCAGAGTGATGTGAAATGGGAGGAGAAAATCTGATGACAGATTTCCAGGCAGCTGGCATCAGGGCAACGAAAAACTATAACAGAAATAGTTTTCTTGTGAGAAACTCCGTAGATTACCAGAAGGAGACTTCTGTTTCTCTACAAAGACTGATGAAAAGACTGTAGCGAGAATTGGGACTGTTTTTAACCACCAAAGTTCTAAAGTTTTTTGTCTCTATGTTGTCATGTGTACAAAGAAATGGTCAAGTAGTGGGAGATAAAAGGGTTTTCTGGAAGTTTATTCTGGTCTTATTCTTGTAGTTTGTTAATAAACTTCCTTTATTCCTTTTTAAGTTTTAAACCTGTTTTGCTCTTGCTCTAATCCATATCTCACAGCAAAAAAATAAGTAATTTTTTAGTTACTGGTTTAAAACCACGACAGGCCTCAGGTAATCAAATGTTATTTTCCTGTTAGTGATAACAACCTTTGGATACTTTTTTTTCCATTTCATGCTTTGATTGCACACTGTGATGGGAAAATATACATTTTTTTCACTAAAAACCAAATATATTTTTTCTTATTTTAAAATATATGTATGACTCGAGTTTCTATTTGTTCAAAACAATTATTTTCAAACTGAAGGAGGAAAATATAAAAGACCTTTGAATTTCAGTGGTTTTTGGGTATCTGTTTGTTCTGAACTGGATTTCTTGTTAGCATACTGCAGAAAAAGGATTATCAGGTACAAAAGAAGGGATTTAGCTGTAAAACAAATAAATGTAGAAAAGCTTAAAAAGAGGGAAAGGTGAAGGATCATGCTTGCAGTTTCCCAACATTAAAGTAATAGACCCAACAAGGAAAAATCAAATTAATGGAAAATTTAATTAATTTCTTGTACATCTAAGCTATTTCATATCTATCCATACTGAAAAAAAGGCAGCTACTAAAAATTTAAACAAACGCCTTTCATTTCACTTTAAAACTCTAAAGAGGTAGATAATAAGAGAAAGGGTCAACAGAATCCAGCTTTGGAGGTGGGAGCTGTAACCTCTCACACAGTGACACTAGCCTTGGGTTGAGTATTCTTGCTGCAGTGTACACCTGTACCTCGTGTGACATGTCAGAATGCCCCACACAGAACGAGTCTCTCCTTCACCTTATTGTGATGTATATAGTCGATTGATAAGAAAATGCCTTCTTGTGCTCCATCTTTTTCCCTGAAAGATTAATTTACTCTTATCTTTGTGCTAGTGGCAAAGGTGATAACACATACTATGTTATTTTCAAAGCAGTTCCTGGGGTTCAGCTACATAATTCCCATACTCTTTTACATAAGAAACAGCACTGACCACTTTGACAAAATGTAGTGAAGTGCCAGCCACCCTGTCTACTGTAACTTACTATTAACAATATATATGCAAAACACACAAAGCACATTTAGATGGAGTGCAGGTGACAAGAGTAACCAAATTTCCTTTACTGCTAAGAAATTAGTCAAAAATTTTTATATAGTGTCACTAGCCTATGACCTGTGAGACAGGAGTGGTGTCAATTGTAATAGGGAAATAGAGAAATTCGAGAGCTACTGATGATGCCAGCTATTAAACTCAATGTGTTTGGTGCAGTTTTCTGGACATCAGATTTATACTGCAAGTGTATTTACATTAGCTCAGTGTAGTATTTGATCTTTGAGAGAAGTTATAAACTTGGGAAAATAATTAATATATCTGATCTAAAGGAGCTGCCAGGTAGTGCAGCTCTCTTCACAGTGGCTATTTCCATGCTTTGGATATGAGTTAAAGCATGGATTTCTCTCAGCACTTATACCTATGTATTGATTTGCATTGTGGGAGAATGACACCACCCCGAGACTATCAGTTTAAATAGGACTCAGCAGAAAAAGGAACACTTCTGCAGAAAGTGAAAGGGAAATAAATGAGAAAAACCTCAAGGCAGTCGAAGCAACCAAAAAGCTTTGCAGGTCTAGCAACAAAATAAATAAATAAAAGGGGAAATGTTCTGCCATTGACAGAAGGACTTTCACAAAAGTTGGAGCAGTTTTTATCACTTAATGGCCTTCCAAGTCACCTTCACTGCAGTTTGGATTTTAGGTATGCACAAGAGGGATCATTCATTCACTGTGTTCATCAGTGCTGCAGCTAAGGGGGGCAGCAGGTTTTTGTGACCCAGTCAACAGTCGACAGATAACTGCTATGAAATTAGGATCAAATTAAAGATGAAAAACAGATCTTGTTTTTATTGTAGGCAATTACTGCTTGGTAACCTGGCCTGGAAGCTCTAAAAGGCTCTGTACTTCATTATCAGTGACTTTAACCAGTCAATTTAACTTTAAAGTAGAAATTAGATTGGTGCAGAACAATGTCCTTTGCCAACTCGGTTCTGTAAGTTTAAACTATTTTATATGCAAATTTATTATGGAGTTTAAAATGGACATAATATGATATGTATTAAAATGTTTAAAGACATATTCTGAAGATACCTAAAGACAAGTATAAAGCAGGCAATATTCTTTCCAATAAGGTAAAAATAGCTCTACACAAGGCAAGATTCTTCTGTCAGGCCAAGGACAAATTTATTTATTGCATTGTCACTAAGAT